TTCCTTCGCACTGCCCTCTTCGGCTATGGTTTTCCCCTTACCATGATTAAATGGATTATGTCATGTGTTTCCACAGCCTCTTACTCGGTCAGTATTAATGGAAACCTCCATGGCTACTTCAAGGGTGGCCGTGGCCTTAGGCAGGGCGATCCTCTTTCCCCTTATCTCTTCACCCTGGTCATGGAGGTCCTCAACCTCTTGACCAAAAGAAAAATTCGTGAAACAGGCACCTTCTCCTATCACCGGAATTGTGAGGAGCAGAATATCACCCATATCTGCTTTGCTGATGATCTCCTCATTTTATGTCATGGTGATAGTGACTCTGCCCGGGTCATAAAGGACTCCCTTGATGAATTTTCGAGTGTGTCGGGTCTCTTTCTGAGTCCGGCCAAATGTGAGGCCTTCTACTGTAATGTTGGCCAGCACACCAAGGAGTCCATTCAATCCATCACCCAGTTTCCGGAGGGTTCCCTCCTTGTGCGTTATCTCGGTGTCCCTCTCATTACCACTCGTCTCTATCATAGGGACTGTAAGGGACTTGTTGACAAGGTCAACTCTAGGATTAATGACTGGAAGAATAAGTCTCTCTCGTTTGCCGGTAGACTGCAGCTCATTCTCTCGGTCCTGTCCTCGATGCAGATCTATTGGGCCTCTATTTTTGTGCTTCCGATTTCCATATCTAAAGAGATTGAGAAGCTCATGCGGGGCTTTCTGTGGTGCCATGGTGAGCTTAAAAGGGGGAAAGCTAAGGTCTCCTGGAAGACTGTCTGCCTCCCCAAGTCTCAAGGCGGGCTGGGTATCAAGAGCCTCGCCACCTGGAATCTTGCCCTTATGGCCTCCCACACTTGGCAAATCCTTACCAATAGGGATTCGCTTTGGGTTAAATGGATCCATTCCTACAGGTTGGAAGATCGTAACTTCTGGAATGCTCCGATACGCAGTGATGTGGGTTGGGGCTGGAGGAAGATCCTTGGTATGAGGGAGAAGATAAGAGACTTCATTGTCTCCCAGATTGGTGATGGCGCTTCCACGTCTGCCTGGTATGATAACTGGCATCCGGCTGGCCCCCTCTACCGGCATATCTCCTCCCGTAGTATTCTCAATTCTGATCTCTCTCTCTCTGCTTCTGTCAGAGATATTGTTTCCCAGGGCAATTGGACGTCTCCTCTCCTGAGGGACTTTTCAAACCCTTCTATCTGTGTCTCTCCCCTCCCCATTCTTTCTCCGACCACCCCTGATAAGCTCCTCTGGAGAACTCGGGATGGTCGTCTCACTCATTTCTCTGTCCGTGAGGTGTGGCTTTCCCTTCGTCCTAATGAGCCTGATGTCTCCTAGCATCATATGGTCTGGTTCTCCCAAAGCATCCCTAGACATGCCTTCATTCTGTGGGTTGCTCTCAAGAAGCGTCTCAAGACGCATGATAAACTTCGGTTCTGGGAGGCTCATGCCGACCTGTCCTGTGCTTTCTGTCAGAACGGGCCTGATTCGCATTCGCATCTTTTCTTTGAGTGCCCGTTCCCTAATCTGGTCTGGAATGGCTTAAAAGTCAAGCTGAACCTCAACGGTATCCCGGATATCTGGGCTGATATTATCGGTATGTTTCAGCAAGTCACCAAAGGAAAAACCTTATGGTCTATCATTCGTCGCTTAGTGCTTGCTGCGACCGTCTACCACTTATGGCAAGAAAGAAATAACCGCATCTTCAAAAGCAAAAGAAGATCGCATATTGCGGTGGGTAAGACTATTACTGATGATGTTCGTTCCAGGCTTCTTAGCCTGTCTTTCAAATCCTCCCTTAATGTTGACCGGGCTCGGCTTGTTTGGAACCGTCCTTAGCCGTCCGTTTCTTTTTGTGCTGTTTGTCTGTTTGTGTGAGCTCCTCTGCTCTCCTGGTTTTCTTGGTGCGGTCTAGGGTGTGCCTTTTTTAGGCCCCTTCTCCTGTCCCTGTGGTGTCCCCCGTTGTTTTCCCGGACTAGTCTTGTCTGGGCCCTTCCCTTGTGGTCGGTTTTTCTTTCTTTCTCTTTCTCCCCCTCTTCTTCTCTCTCTTCGTCTCTTCCCCTTTCTCTTTTTCTCTTTTCTCTTCTTTCTCTTCCTCTCTTTTCTCTTCTTTCTCTTCTTCCTCCTTCTTTTCTCTCTCGGGGTGCCTTGGTTTTCTGGTGGATGTGGTTCGCCCCCACCCGAGCGCGTATTTGTTGTTTTGTGTTTAGTGTTTTGCCTTGATCTGGAGGGGTCTCCCCCCTCCCTATCAAAAAAAGAAATTATATGCATAATATGGATGCATGTATGGGATTGGATGTGTGTCTGTGTGTATGTGTGTGCAAAATTATATATGTATATATAGAATTTTATATATATATATATATATATGTGCATACATGCATGTTATATGAGTGCATGGTATGTGCGTACATGCATGTGCATGAGAGTTTTTGTAAGAAAAGGGGCTGTTAGCCGACTTTCCCTAAAAGGAAAGTATAAAAGGAGGGCTTAGCCTCCATTCTCTTCTTCCTGGCTTTTTAGAAAGATTGTGCGATTTAAAGGAAAAAGAGAGTTGGCAGGATCATTTCTATTTGGAGATTCAAGTTGATCTCAGGTGTTGGATTTCGAAAGCTTGAAAAGT